AGGTACAGGGTATGTGAATGCACATGATTGCATATTCATAAATATCTGATTCTTGTGGCCACGAATACCGAATTCAATTCATGAATGGATATGTAGAGAATCTCACCTGAGTGTCTTTTGATATCAAATATATCAACACTCGTTGATAAAAGTGGCAAAAATCCTCGGCAAGCCTCGGAATTTTTCCACTTTAATCAACTTGTGTTGATATATTTGATATCAAAAGACACTCAGGTGAGATTTTATTTATCATCCAACATCATTCTTTCAACTTTTTCAATTTGTAGACAGTAATTAGCAGTGTCTTCAGTGTAAAAAGTACTCCAAACAGCTTCAGTAGCAGAGCCATTAGTGATGTCATTTGATTGTGACATCATGGTAACCAGTGACGTCACAATGGTCTGCAAAGCATTGTGATGTAATTTCATTGCAGCGATATCTACAGTGTAGATATCGCTTGATCTCATCCAAGTGATATCTCCTGTGGGAGCCAGTTTTGGATGATAAAGTTGGATTCACCAAATACGCGAGTGAATCGTAACAGCCCTAGAATAAAGCAAAATCATAAAGAACTCCATGTTTTGTATCCTATTGGGTTTCAAAGATGGAATTAATCAAGGGATTTATGTAAGCTGCAAAACTAAGTACCCTTGGGAAATATAGGTAATTTTCTTTAAAAAATGATGTTTTCTTTAAAGTCCTTATTTTCATATATTTAGTGATATTTTAACATTTCTTTAAATGCAAAAATGTAAAACATAACATAACCGGTTCTTGTTTATTTGCCCCGTGATCAGTCAAATGCAAGTCACCTCTAGAAAGCCATAACATGACTTGGCAAGTTTTAATTTCAATTCAGGAAATGTTACCGACATGTTCTTAAGCTTGAGGCGAAACATCGACCTCTTGTCAGGTCCAGATAAATCCATGTGATCCGCGAATTTTTGTAAGCAGTCTCAACTAGGTGGTCAGACTTGGACGTCAGACCGTGACAGAGTCAAACATTGAAAAATCAACTACTGGTTCGTCCGGTCTAAACTTGGTTATTTACAGCTACACCCTGTGATATAACTGATGTATTGTTGATTAAGGCATTAAACAACATTCATTCACCCACTCTTACATTTAATAATGTTGAGTCAGTGTAGCAATAATAATAGTCGATACTTTACATGTCACATTTAGTTTAGAATCCACACTTTTCTGTGTTTAACATGGCATGTTGATAAATGTTGTTGTCCTCTACAAAGATTATAAATGACACCAAAGATGGCTGCATTTCTTCGTTCTTATCCTTGGTTCCTACAGCCTTGTGGGGAAAAAGAGGACATGTAGCTTGTTGGTTGAAGGAAATTATAAAAGCAGGAACAGACAGTGAATAAACTTTTAGAGCAGTGTTGGACATTTTGAGAATTTATGTTTTGCGAAGTTGTTCATCGCCAATGACTGTATTCTAACAGTGGAAGAGATTAAGGGGTCACTGAGAGTTTCTGTTGTGGCAATCAAATCTAGGGAGTCTCTGAAACTATGATTTCAAACATGACATGGGTTATGACAAAAATCTGAGGTGTTTTGGTGAGATATGTACATAAATTTTATAAAAATGTATATTCTTCAAATTGTACTTGAGGCCTGTGGCCTCTTCAGTACGTGAAATAAAGATTGACAAAAATCTGTTGAGTCATTTTTAATGTTGATCACTTTCAGATACTTGTATCGTTTCTTTTCACTGAAACATTCACCATGTATACAAATAGTGGCAGAAAGAATATTTGATTTATTCGTATTAACGGTACTCTTTAGTCTATTGTACAGATTCTGAAATGAAAATATGCCCCAAATCCAGCTAAGTCTGCAAAACTTTTGCAGTCTAAAAATCTCTTCAATTTCTGAAAATGAGTCTTCTCTTTGTTATATATAAAAGACATTTTAACAAGAAATGCTTAGTGCTACAGTTGGTGAGATTCTAGTTCTGTCACATAACAATTTAAAGTTTAACGTCACAGTGAGCAATATTCTAGATATGTGGTCGCACATGGTCTTTAGCTCAGTGCTCAGGTCACAAATAGGGTTAAGTTAAGCAACGTCAGTCGCAGGGAATAGAAGGATGGGTGACCACGTTCAGCAGCTTGACTCTAGGACTAGGACTTCGTTCCTGCCCCACACTGAATAACATGTAACTCAGGTACTACGTGGTGTCTCTAGGCAAGTGACTTTGTTCGAAATGTGCCTGTTCACCCAGCAGCCAATGGGTACCCGGTAGGATGAGATGGTTATATGACAGATAACCTTCTAGTATCGTTTGTACACTCCCAAGTGAGCTGAGAATGATAAACGAATGCCCTCTGATCCATAAGTTGGCTCGATGACTTGGTTAGCGTGGCATCATACTCTGAGATGTGGGATACTGCTCATTATATCAATCACTGGTTTGTGTGGTCCACAAGGAAACTATAACTGAGTGTGGCATTACACACACACAAAAACTTGGGACCTAATTCACCTGTTCTGACCTGGAGTCTCTTTCTCTACCCATAAATAACCCGTACAATTAATTTGTTACATGTTTATGTCATGCATGTACGCTAAAAAAAATTCTCAGATTTTGTATGGTACGTAGTTGTCCAATGAGTTGCAGTATGAGTGTGTCCGTCAATCTGTGTAAAATTGCAGATTGCAAGTTAAATATTCAGCAGCCAGCTGTCATAATGTTGACTATTTACATTCAACATGTTTACAAGCTGGGCTGCTAGTGGAGTATTAATTAGTCACTCAGCATTCAGAACTCAAATTTCAAGGCTTGTGATATTCCGTTCAGCCATGAGAAATGTAATAGCTGCTGAAACCAGGAAATATATGAGGCTAACAATATTGGCAATAACAAGTTCTCCAGAGTTGGGTCGCCTTTGTGTGTGTCCATGTGCCTGCGTAATTAGTAATTTTAATTATACCGTGCCAGTATATACAGCGTTTGATTCATCAGCTGCTGCCTATCTTCCTTCATGGTGTACATAGGTGCAGCATATCAATAATAATGTAAGTAGCTAGCAGTGTAACAATATATCACACTATCGAACGATTGCAGTTGTATGCCCTACGATAATACTATATGGATAGGAATTGAGAAATGCCAATAGTATTGTGGATAGTATGCATAACATTCTGTAGTTTCGAAAGTTGCAATTAGTTATGAATAATACGTATATTATACAAATGTCATACCCAACTATAATGTTCTTGAATGAGCCTTGCTCTGTTGATAAATGATATGATCCTTGAAGGAGCGAAACAAAGGCTTTTATTTGTCGTCAGCGCAATGAATACAGGGCGCCGCCATTGATACTGGCTCGCACATGGTTAATCTCAAAATGAGACCCTGACCTCTGACCCATACATATGCATGTAATTACAAACCTTGATTGCATATACACTACACCAACTGTGTTGTTGGTTAACAAGGGTTACGACAACTTCAGATTAGAGGTACTTTCCTCGGTTCGAGTAGCAAAAGGAAAATGGCCATCTTTGAGAGATTGTCAGTAATACTTTGATCATAAACATTACTTACAGGCTGGTTTACAAGCATATGTTTATTACCTTCGAGGGCAAACATATCAGGGTTCATAAATATCATATTTGCCCTAGGGTCATATGTCACGAGACAACAGTGTATTGTTTTCGTCATCAGGATGACACTGTTGATGTCCTTCGAATCTTATTGTGACGTGAGGTCAGAATGATGTCACACTAGAAACGACGTCATACGTGAAGATTGTTGACGTCATTTGACAAATTGTGGTTCGGCTGTTGATGCGACTTGCCGTCCTTATAGATAAACACTAATATTCGTCTCTGTATATAGATGACTCCTTCGGTAATAAATAGAACATTATATTTGTGTTCATGTCATACTATGTTTATGACACTCGTGCCTAAATTCCGATATTTAGACACTCATGTCGTAAACATAGTATTACATGATCACGAATATAATATCCTCTATTAATGAGCACTCGGTACAAAACCCCAAAATGTGCGTAACAAACATGACAGATCTTTTTACAGTAAACACGGTAATATTAAAGGGGTATGTAACGGACGACTGGTAAACAGGGATATGTTGAGTTGTGACATGATGATAACCCAGTACAAAGACGTATACCATATTCGACGTAATAAGCGCCCACGGCGACATTTGCTAAGAAATTGGTTTGTGAACAATCCCAATGAGCACCCCTTCCGATTGATCAATGTACACAACACTTATTTATTCGCGTATAATAGGCTCTCGTGTGTTATATGCACCCTTAATTATTGGCATTTAATTCTGGAAAAATATATCTGTCGTACATAAACATTTCAGGCTGTCAGCATAAACCACGAAATGTATCTTTCAACTCTGTTTTTTTCCACCAAAATAACATTTTAATAAGAGCCCCCTATTTCTAATTTTGAGAGCGCCCTGGGCGCTTATTACGTCGAATACGGTATACGACTTTGACCCAGTATGATTATGTATGAAGTCCGCCCATTGGCACATACCATTGTCAAGAAACTGATAGCAGGTGGCCCGCAACAAGTAGTACAGTAGTGTGACCTGTCTCGGCTTACACAGAGATCAGGTGGCAAGTTCAACAGCACATTATAGTAGGTGCTGATGTTTATCAGGAGTGTAGTCAATTTTTTTGTCATGAACTGCACATGCACAGCATGCGTACACCCTCTCTGCTTGTAGCACACCAAGTATGTTTGCCCAGATTCTGTGCACTGCCTACTTGTCTCAAACACGTTTTATCTGTTGGTTCAACTTATCCTGCATTACCAGTAATAACTATTATAGGGGCAGTCGGGTAGCCTTGTGGTTAAAGTGTTCGCTCGGCGATTCCTGACATGGGTACAATGTGTGAAGCCCATTTCTAGTGTCCCCTGACGTGATATTGCTGGAATATTGTTAAAAGCAGCGTAAAACCATACTCACTCGCTCGCTCACGTGTCAACTATTATCAAAAATAGACCAATTTTATGCCAGATCTTCACATGTTCATGGACATTTAAACTCAGTTCTGCTTGATCTCTGACAACAAATTGTGTATGGTTTTAATAAGCGCCACGTTTGTCAATTTTCTAAGCTACCTGGGTGATTATTACAGCAAATACAGTATTCCTATTTGAACATGAACATGATGAATGGTGGCAGTATCTCTTTTTATTATTGACATGGACAGACGCACACAGTCATGTTTCAGGAAGCTAGATTCCCCCGCACCTACAAAAAACTGGCTGGACCACCACCACTGGACAAAGAGCCCCAATATAACAACACTTATAGCACATACTGCTGACCTTTCACCCACCATGTATAATTCTGCACCGTGCTCACAGCAGCCAGTCCTGCTTGACAAAGGAGTAAGGATCTATCGAGAGACTTTGCTATGGTCTACTTCGTCATCCTTCAACTTCTAACGAGAGCCTATCAAACAATTCACCACAACCTGAGTAAGTTATCACATGTTAGAGGGTCAGAAATTGTAGGGGAGAATGGTCTCCAGACTTCTAAATCTTACATTTTTAAGATTAGGGCTATGACAATGACCCTTGATTTTCATACTTTATTTCAAACACTGGGTTTATGTAAGCAATATTTCCGTCTTCCTCGTTCTGATAAAGGAATACAAAATATGGAGACTAACATTTCATATTTTCCACCAGCCAGTTGAACATGCTGAATCTTCACTGTTTATATATTACTGGCAGTGAGTAATTTTCCTGGAATGTGTCAAGGCGGGACAGTATCAGTACAGCCTAAGATGGGTTTTTTAGATAAGTCTAGGTAACTAGTGTAGACCTTGGCTCACCTGTCCTCAGAGTTTGTAGCTGGTCCTGCTCGAAGGAGACAGTCGCTGTGCAGAGTTGCGTCCCTTGAGCAGGCCACAAACCTATGATTTATGGGTTCAAATCCCAGTTCGCCCCGATTATGTTTCTAGGTTTGTCAGCACCATACCCATGCTCATGGGTTTCGCCGAAGTGGTAAACGTCTGAGACCTGCATCACTTCGGGCTTTCCTCCCACATTAAGCTGACACGCCGCGATATAACTGTAATACTGTCAAAAGCGGTGTTAAACCCAACTCACTCACTCTAAGAAGACAGAAATGTTTTCTATGTTTACACTTTCTGTCAGTTTTATTCAGTTCAAAATTGAAATCCATTGTTTGACAGTATTATACCTGTGAGTTTATGAAGACAAGACATTCATGTCCTATCTCTTTTGCAGTATAGTGGGAAATTCAGTTCAGTTTGTTTGTTGTTTAAAGGTGCACTCAACAATGTTCTAGCTATATATAATGGCGGTCTGTAAATAATCAAGTCTTGACCAGACAGTCCAGTGATCTATGCTACTGGCACACGATAACATGCATCAATAAGTCAAGAGCCTGGCTATTTGAGTTCCTCATTTGCCTCTCATGACAAGCATGGGTTGCTGAAGACCAGTTCTTGTCCGGATCTTCATGGGGTGGTGGTGTTGGGGAAGGGGTGGTAGTGTTCAGAATCTAGTTCGATTTTCAGATCTCAATCAAGAGGCCCCAATTGGTTTACCTAATATTTTCATAAGAAGAAAATTGTACACTTCTATTTAAAATATTATTTCATACTTGTCTTTTTTTGATGATGTGGGGCATGGATGGCCCAGTCGTCTAAGGCGCTGCAGTTCACTGTGCAGAGTTGTGTCCCTTGGGTTACCAGAAATCTGCGATTGTAGGTTCGAGTCTCAGATTCACCCTGATTATGTTTCAAGGTTTGTCCGCACCATACCCATGCTCGTGGAATTAACCAAGGTGATAAACATCTGAGACCTCCATCACTTTGGGCTTTCCTCCCACATCAAGCTGTCATGTTGTAATATAACTGGAATACTGTTCAAAGCAGCATTAAACCCAACTCACTCACTCACTTTTAATGATGTGCGGCTGGGTTGGCCCAGTGGTATGAGGTGTCACAGTTTGCTGTGCAGAGTTGTGTCCCTTAGGCTAGCCAGAAAGCTATGGTGGGTTTGAATCCCTGATTTGCTGGGATAAGGTGTGTTTCTACCCTCTGTGCCAGTGCGATGCTCATGATATTAATTACTGGATTGTCTGTACACCCTCGATTATTTACAGATTATATAGTTCGGATATTACTTAGTACGGGGTTAAACAACCAACCAACCAACCAGCTATGCCTATGCCCGTTGTAAACGTCCTACATCAAGCTGACACACCACAATATTACTTTTTCGAAGTGGAATTGAACCAGACATACTCTCGTATTAATGGTGAAATGGGGATTTATGAGGATTCTGATTAACTGTCCACGTACTGAAGAGACTTTATCTTTTGTTCTGATGTAGTTTGTTTACATTGCAGGCTAAAGAAAACAAACTTCTCCAATTCCTGATCATACTTTCAAAATGGAAACAACAAAATGTGCCAACCCTGACACAGAAGAAGACAATCATGTGACAGACAGGAATACCGAAATGTCTGATGGATCAGGTGATACCCGCATTGACCAATCAGAACAAGGAACAGATGTTCCGCCTGAAACTGTTTCCCATCAGAATGAGGCTTCAGAAGAAGAGCATGATGAGAAGACCGATGATTCAGGGATCCCAATAGACCGAGGATGGTCTTGGATGATTGTCGTAGGTTAGTCAGTTAAAATATTTTATCTATGATCAGTGTCATCAAATTTGAATTAACACTATCTTATCCACCCTGTAATTTTAGGGACATTCTATATAGCCTAATGGTTGAACCATTTACCTGTCACCAAGGCCATGTTTCTATTCCCTACATTGGAGTTTGTGTGAAGTCCATTTCTGGTGTCCCCTGCCATGATATTTCTGGAATTTTGGTAAAAGCATCGCTTATTAACACAACCCGTGAAGATTCCTGGGTAGAATAGGTCTTCAGCAACCCATGCTTGCTGTAAAAGGTGACTATGCTTGTCGTAAAAGGCAACTAACGGGATCGGGTGGTCAGGCTCGCTGACTTGGTTGATGCATGTCATCGATCACAATTGCGTGGATTGATGCTCATGATATCAATCACTGGATTGTCTGGTCCAGACTCGATTATTTACAGACTGCCGTCATATAGCTGGAATATTGCTGAGTGCGGCGTTAAACAACAAACCAACCAACCAACCAACCAACTTATTAACACAAGAACACAAGTTAAGTATATTTCAGAGATGGTGTGTGAGTGTGTGTCCATGCGTGCATGCACGTGTTTAATGCACTAATGCAAACACAGTATTCCTACAAAGTACAACTGATTCCAGCATCTTAATGGATGCCACGGGGGCACTTTAAAAGAGTATATCACTCAAAAATATAACCATTTTCAATTTAAATCCTGCATGTTTGTCATTTTAAGGGGCAATAACTAAAATAGTTTCATATTCCTGCATTGTATGAATCAGAATCCATTCACACATGCTTGTTTACACATGCTTGTTTACACATGCTTGTTTACACATGCTCGTTTACACATGCTACACATGCTTGTTTACACATGCTCGTTTACACATGCTTGTTTACACTTGCTACACATGCTTGTTTACACATGCTTGTTTACACATGCTCGTTTACACATGCTACACATGCTTGTTTACACATGCTCATTTACACATGCTTGTTTACACATGCTTGTTTACACATGCTACACATGCTTGTTTACACATGCTCATTTACACATGCTTGTTTACACATGCTTGTTTACACATGCTACACATGCTTGTTTACACATGCTACACATGCTTGTTTACACATGCTCGTTTACACATCCTACACATGCTTGTTTACACATGCTTGTTTACACATGCTTGTTTACACATGCTACACATGCTTGTTTACACTTGCTACACATGCTTGTTTACACATGCTTGTTTACACATGCTACACATGCTTGTTTACACATGCTACACATGCTTGTTTACACTTGCTACACATGCTTGTTTACACATGCTACACATGCTTGTTTACACATGCTACACATGCTTGTTTACACTTGCTACACATGCTTGTTTACACATGCTACACATGCTTGTTTACACATGCTACACATGCTTGTTTACACATGCTACACATGCTTGTTTACACATGCTTGACAACTGACATTGTATTAAAGATTCAAATTCAACATGTGCCCAGTTGTGTTGTTGGCATTCTTGGTTTGGAAAATATAACAAATGTTCTTCCCTCACTACTGTACTTCTGTTGTCAATAACAAAAAAGTCCTACTTCCCTATTCACATTTGAGAAAAATGTGCCGAATTAATTATTTTTGTGCAGTCTTATTTATATATGGGTTGTTACGTATGAAAACTCTCCACAAATACAGTGAGCATGTGGAAGAGAAATTGTGTATGAATCTGATTTCGTGCACCGAATATCCGACATCTGCGACATGTGGAATTAATGGCAATATTGATATTTCAAGATAAGGCCTTTTGTAAACACTTTCATGACATTTGAAAACAACATGTCCATGTTTTCCAGAAGAGATTTGCGCAGTGGCTGTAGTTTGCACTCAAATGACCTGCAACAGCAGCCATTTTGAACTTTCAGAAAAAGAGGTTACTTTGTTGGACATAGGCCAAGTAAAATGTGATAACATGGACATGTTCAGTAGTTTGAAAAAGTTTTACAAGACATTTTACGGATGGAGGACAGACGAATGATAAAATTTTGTGTCTTTTTTATTTCACCCAATTGTAAAACAGAGTCCATCTATTGTTTTAGTCAAATTTCATTTTGTTTTTCGAGTTTCAGGGTTTTTTTCGTTGGTCGGTCTTGTAAACCAACTTAAAAATAAAGCCTTATGTTATGATATGTCCTTCCAGGGTGCTTCGTCATGCACATTTTCTGTGTGGGCGGCATCAAGTCCTTCGGCATCTTCTTTGTGGAGTTGGAGGATAGATTTGAGACGTCAGCAAAAGCTCTTGGATTTGTACAAGCGGTGGCAAGCACATTGATGTTGGGCCTAGGTGAGAAAAACTGACGTTGACGTTGGGCCTAGGTGGGGAAAACTGACATTGACGTTGGGCCTAGGTGGGGAAAACTGGTGTTGGTGTTGGGCCTAGGTGAGAAAAACTGATATTGATGTTGGGCCTAGGTGAGAAAACCTGACGTTGGTGTTGGGCCTAGGTGGGGAAAACTGGTGTTGGTGTTGGGCCTAGGTGGGGAAAACTGGTGTTGGTGTTGGGCCTAGGTGAGAAAAACTGGCGTTTGTGTTGGGTCTAGGTGAGAAAAACTGGTATTGATGTTGGGCCTAGGTGAGAAAAACTGGCGTTGGTGTTGGGCCTAGGTGAGAAAAACTGGCATTGGTGTTGGGCCTAGGTGAGAAAAACTGACATTGATGTTGGGCCTAGGTGAGAAAAACTGGCGTTGGTGTTGGGCATAGGTGAGAAAAACTGACGTTGGTGTTGGGCCTAGGTGAGAAAAACTGGTCTTGGTAAGTTACACATACCCCTGGGATTATTGATTTGAAAATTTGAAATTCTTAGTAGTTCTTGACATTTTTAGTAGGTTGCACTTGCATGTTTTACATAGCTAACTCTATAGTAAATACAGATGTCAGAGTTACCTGAGAATCAGTGTTGGGGTTACCGGGTGAGTGAGAATTGATTATGCATGGGGTAACTGGTAAGTGGGAATTATTACTGAGTCAAAATGAGCATTGACATTGGGTTTACTTTGTGAGAATTCATGTAAACCACTAGATACGATTCTAACATGATCTCAGGTGACATGTTAGCTTAAAGTTATTACAAATCTTATTTTATTTTTATGATTAACACTAGGGATGGGTATTGGAGGTTAAAAGTATATCTCAGTATTTTACGACGCAAAAGGCTATATTGCGATATGTATCACAATATACTGTATAGATATAATTCCAAATTTTTAATTAAGAGACAATCTGATTCATTAAGGTTTGAACTGAAGTTCATAAATACGCAGCCATCGTGGAGCCCCAATTGCTCGCTCCTGGGCAGCGAAGGCATTTGACAAGTATATAACATTAAACACATGATAATAATCCCAATTTGAAATCACCCAATATATCGAGCATGAAAATTTATATTGTGATACGTATCCTGGAAAGAATGAACCTCAATTTACCGGTAATACCTCACACCTTAATTAATGGTGAATAATACAACAGAACATATATACCAGGTATCACATATAACTTTTAATAGCAATATTGCAATAGACACATGGAAAATGTCCTTACTGGTCTTAAAATACTTCATCCAATATTTGGTAGCAGTTTTGACTTGATTATTTCTCCTCCTGATATTTCCATTTTGTTTCCTTCAGGTCCAATCTCCAATGCCCTGAGTGTGCGGTTCACCTGCCGTGCCGTGGTGATGATTGGCGGCGTGCTGATCGGTGCTGGCTTCACCTGCACGGCCTTCATCCCGTCAGTCCCCTGGCTCTACGTCACATACGGAATAATGACAGGTCATAACACATATATAGTGTAGTCACATAGGGAATAATGACAGGTCATAACACTTATATTACATACGGAATAATGACAGGTCATAACATATATTGTAGTCACATACGGAATAATGACAGGTCATAACACATATATTGTAGTCACATACGGAATAATGACAGGTCATAACACATATATAGTGTAGTCACATACGGAATAATGACAGGTCATAACATATATATTGTAGTCACATACGGAATAATGACAGGTCATAACATATATTGTAGTCACATACGGAATAATGACAGGTCATAACACATATATTGTAGTCACATACGGAATAATGACAGGTCATAACACATATATTGTAGTCACATACAGAATAATGACAGGTCATAACACATATATTGTAGTCACATACGGAATAATGACAGGTCATAACACATATATAGTGTAGTCACATACGGAATAATGACAGGTCATAACACATATATTGTAGTCACATACGGAATAATGACAGGTCATAACACATATATTGTGTAGTCACATATGGAATAATGACAGGTCATAACACATATATACAGTGATCCCTCGCTATTGTGCTCTTCGATAAAGCGCTACCTCGGTTACTACACGCGGTAACGCATGGCTCCCAAAATTTATGTACACTTTTAATACTGCGAGTTTTACACAGACATAATTGTATTGTTGTTCGTTGTTCATTTGCACATAACGCTTCTCATTGCATAATCAACCGTTTATCGCTGAATGGAGTTCTAATAATCTGTTTGAAAACATCCGCGGCAAGTCCCGGAAATACGATTGTTCAACTAGTTAACTTTTCACACTATACATCCTTTGATCTTAGAAGCGCATGCATGCAATAAAAGAGAACCACAAGCGAAGTTTATATTCTTAATTAGTGGGCAATCCAATTTGAGGCGACACTGTCAACTCACATGTAGTTGCTGTCACAACACGGCGGTCATTCCTTTTGATTCGGATCAAGTAACCGTATCAAACCAATTAATTACTATCACTGTCTACATGTCTAACTACTGGTAAAATGGTACAGTAAATTAGCTGAGAGAAATTTCGTAATCGCGCTTTCGTAACATCGCCTGTTTTTTTTCCGTAGTTATAACAAGCAATTTCATTGGATTAAAAGTTGTTTCTAATGACGCTTTCTTGCCGAAATCTGCTACAAGTTTCGTGATTGGTCAATTTTGAGCACGTGACCTCAGGCAGCCAATCAAATTATAGCTGTGATACCAAGCTCGTGTTTGATAAATTTCAGAAGTTGGCGACAGATTTCTGTTAAATCTCGTTATTCTGAACGTTTTAAGCAGGAAATCACGATATATATTAAAAATATGGAACTTCGTGAATGTATCGTACTAGGTTACGAGCTGTGACAAATATTTTTCATGCATATATTTTTGCATTAAACGTTGTGTCCGAGCCGAGAATTCAAGGCGACGAAAGCCGAGATGTCATTTTACTTACATTACACGCGATCGCACGAAACGATGGAAATACTTACTTAGATGTAAGTTTGATTACTTTTAGATATATTTTTGTTGATTTGATTTATCACTTTGTATAATATATTTAAAGATTTGCTTAAAACGTCTTTATTTTGCTCTTTGACATGTTCGATGCGGACCCTTTGTCGAAATGTGTGTCCGAGAATTTCATTTTCAATAACATCGCGGGAAAAAGTGAATAATTTTTTAATTTATCGATAAAAAATGATAAATTGAAATGGAATACGTATTTCAGACATTGCGAAATGTGACAGATTTAATAAATGAATGATATTACAGGTAGATCTAGGTCCATAAAAATATATACTATTTTGACGTGAAGTGAGATAAACACATATTGATGATTTGAGATTTGCCGAGAGCGCTCCCCCGCCTCGGCCTCGGTTAAACGGCTCATCGTCTATAACGCCCACCAATTATTTGGACCCCATTGGTAGCGTTGTAGCGAGGGACCACTGTAGTGTAGTCACATACGGAAGAATGACAGGTCATAACACATATATATTGTAGTCACATACGGAATAAAGACAGGTCATAACACATATATTGTAGTCACATATGGAATGACAGGTCATAACACATATATTGTAGTCACATACGGAATAATGACAGGTCATAACACATATATATTGTAGTCACATACGGAATAAAGACAGGTCATAACACATATATTGTAGTCACATACGGAATAATGACAGGTCATAACACATATATTGTAGTCACATATGGAATAATGACAGGTCATAACACACATATTGTAGTCACATATGGAATGACAGGTCATAACACATATATTGTAGTCATATACGGAATAATGACAGGTCATAACACATATATTGTAGTCACATACGGAATAATGACAGGTCATAACACATATATTGTAGTCACATACGGAATGATGACAGGTCATAACACATATATTGTAGTCACATATGGAACAAGAAAACAGTGTTATCACTATCCCCCACAATGGGGCACATTTGAATTTTGTTTGTTCATATAGTAGTAAATATAAACTGTAGGAAAGAGTCCTATGAAGCCTTAAGAAGAGATAGGCACTTGGGCCGCTTTATGAAATCATGTTAAATGTGAAATTAATACACACAAAATGCCCCCTCTCTAAAAAAATAATGCTGTCTTAATAAGTTTCTTGTAGATAAGCTTACTTCAGTAGTATCTGAGAAAACTTGTCCCCTTTGCGCAAATAACATGGATCAAGGGCCATAACTCTGTAAACAAATAATTTACGGTTCCAATTTTCGAACTGAGTTTTGACAAGTATCTATTAGATAAACATGAAAACTTTCATTCATGTAGCTTCAGTAGTTTTGTGTTTGGGAATAATAATGAAAGGTCATAACACATATAGTGTAGTACATCAACTCTTCATAGTCAACACAACATGTGTTGAATCAATATGGTATATAGTTTATTCCCACAAGTATTACATGTACACACAAAAGTCAAGTTACACACTTGAATATGGCCGCCGAGTGATGTGGCTTGTCACTCGCCTGCTTGTGTGTGTGTGTGTGTGTGTGCGTGTGTGCCTGCTTGTGTGTGTGCGTGCGTGCGTGCGTGTGTGCGTGCGTGCGTGTGCAAAATACATTTATTGTTCAATACAGACCTTTATCAACAATGTTTCAAATTGTCAACAGTTTGAATACATTTAAGAGAGGCGGAATATTTGTAGTTTTACCAGTTTCCAAACCAAAGATAAAATAGAGATCAATGAACAGGAATATTGTCACATCAATATTTTTCTACAGTAAAACAATTGCATAGTTGTGTAATGTGACAGAGATAATGGCAATAGCTCATCTTGAATATAACACTCATACTGCATAAATGCGTAATGTGAGTGAGTGAGTATGGTGTTACGCCGCTTTTAGCAATATTCCAGCAATATCATGACGGGGTACACCAGAAATGGGCTTCACACATTGTACCCATGCCGGGAATCGAACCCGGGTCTTTAGCGTGACGAGCGATTGCTTTAACCACTAGGCTACCCGACCGCCCCTAAATGTGTAATATAATGTGATATAACACTTGTATTGCATAGATGTGTAATGCTACCCAGTAACTCATCTGTGATATAAAACTTGTATTGCATAGATATGTAACTAAACACAGTAACTCATCTGGGATATAACACTTGTATTGCATAGATGTGTAATGTTGCCCAGTAACTCATCTGTGATATAACACTTGTATTGCATAGATCTGTAACTAAACACAGTAACTCATCTGGAATATAACCCTTGTATTGCATAGATGTGTAATGTTACCCAGTAACTCATCTGGGATACAACCCTTGTATTGCATAGATGTGTAATGTTACCCAGTAACACATCTGGGATATAACACTCATAGTGCCATGATGTTTACTGTAATCGATAATATTAACATATTTGAGATCTGGTTTCACCTTTTTGACTTATTAACTATTTTACATGGCAATTTCAACCACACATGTGATGCATCTTCTCTCTATTTTCAGGCGTGGGGTTTGGCTTGAGTTACGCTCCTTGTGTGGTGATGGTCGGGCATCATTTCGTCAAGCGCCGATCTTTAGCCAATGGCATCTCTGTGGCAGGTAGTGGCGTCGGTCAGTTCGTGCTGCCCAACCTTGTCCGCTATCTGCTGAATGAATACAGCTACCAAGGCTGTATGTTGATTATTGGGGGGCTGATGCTTAATGTGTGCGTCTGCGGTGCACTCATGCGTCCATTGTCAAGTTACAAGAAAAAAAAGAAAGGGGAGACTGTCAATCCAAAAGTAGACAATGTCAAGGAGCTCTTGGATAGTAGTCTTGAACAAAATGACCTCAGTGGAAGTTTGACCGAGAAGAATAGACTTCTTGATAAAAGAGTTGCACAGTTGACAAACAGTAACCAAGAAATGTCAGGGTCAAGTCATTCCTTGGAGTCTGGATCCCCTGACCGCTATTTACGCCACAAGAATCGCCTGATTGACAGCAAACAGCGCTACTTCTCCGAAGATGTGCCTGAGCTTCATGGCTCCAAGCAGTCTCTTGACAACAAACGGCAGCCACCCCAGAGGTTTTACTCCGTCGAAGAGGTCCCTCCTCCTTCCCCACTACGACATCGTCGACTGAGACATTTATCAGAAACCAGTTCATTCAAAAGCGAAACATCGCTCTTTGCCAGCACAGGAGACCTTGTGATAGCTTCGTTACAAAATATACCCGGTTCTGAGGTAGATGTTGTTGAATCTGACGAACCCGTGACAAAATATCGCTGTTGTGATTTGTGTCGTGTGTCCGAAGCCAAATCAAAATCCAGTGTGCCTCTGTTTGACTGGGCGCTCTTGATGAATCCAGTTTTCCTTGTGTATTTATGTTCAGTTTTAATCACCAATTTCGGTTATCCGAATGTTTTCATCATGCTAGCCTCGTACTGTCAAGAGTTGGATCTCAACAAAGACACAGCAGCCTTGTTATTTTCATTAATTGGATTGTCTGACTTATGTGGTCGATTATTTTTTGGTTGGTTTTCCGATCTCAAATTTTTTCCAAGAAGGTATGGATTTCTCGGCACCATGGCAATCAGTGGCATGTTGTCAATCCTGCTGCCCCTCTTGAAATGTTATGAAATGTTGATATTCTTTTGCTGCACGTACGGATTCTTCGCAGGGTCATACATAGCTCTGATAGCTGTGGTCCTGGTGGATTGTTTAGGGATTGAGAAACTGTCCAGTGCTTTCGGGTTCACGACGCTATCAATGTCTATATCCCTGCTGATTGGGCCTCCAATAGTTGGTGAGTTTCACAACAATGATGATACAATTACATGTCATAAAGTGTACCTGTGTGATTGACCAGCCACTGTCTTGTCAATACCTGTACTCGTCTAGCTGGCTGGCCTTACAGATATAATGTTGTCATAATGTATAATGTGACGTCACTCGCCTTCCACGTCACATTTGACCCTGTTTCCTGTTTGAGTTGTAATAGCTCGTAACTTGTGAACTTGGAATGATGAATTTGTTATGTGTATCATGAGCAGTATGTTAGGTTTTATAAGCAGTGACCAATTGTCTATAAAACTGGATGTGACCCATGAAGATCCAGGTTAGAATAGGTCTTCAGCAACCCATGCTTGTCGTAAGAGACGACTTAAAAGATCGGGTGGTCAGGCTCGCTGACTTGGTTGATGCATTGATGCTCATGTTATTAATCACTGGATTGTCTGGTCCAGACTCGATTATTTACAGACCGCCGTCATATAGCTGGAATATTGCTGAGTGCGGTGTTACACAACAACAACATACTGTTGATAAGGCTAAAGAAAATAATAGTCTTGGTTCTCAGGCACCACCCTCATCATCATAAAGTTCGCTGCATCTTTCATTTTTATTTCCATTTAAAAAAAAAAAAAATCCTTAAATATTCCGAGTCCACTGGTTATTCCAGTACTGTGTTCCAGTATTTTACTCATCATGGAATACATTTATGTAGGGAGGCCCTTTCTACGGTGGCCCTTAAGGGACATGGAGTCTGTTTTTCAATATTTTGATGTTTAACTTACTTTTATCGTAACCTTTTGCAAATTAACACAATTTGCCATACAAATATGTGATAAATCATGTATAAAAACATCTGAAAACATGGAAAATGTACTTTTAAGTAGCTATTGAGTCGCTGAAATGTGAAGTGAAAATGTCAAAAACTAAAATGGAAATGTCAAAAACTAAAACGAAAAGGTCAAAAACTAAAATGAAAATGTCAAAAACGAAAATGAATACACAGAAAACTATTTCCACCGCGGTGATAATATTCCCAGCGCGGTGTAAATATTATCACCACAGTGGAAATAGTTTTCACCGCAGTGGAAATAGTTTTCTGTATTTTCATTTTAGTTTTTGACATTTTCGTTTTGTGTTTTTGACATTTTCATTTCAGTTTTTGACATTTTTGTTTCGTTTTTCAGCGATTCAATATCTTCTTTACACATGATTTATCACATATTTGTAAGACAAATCGTGTTAATTTGCAAAAGGTTACGATAAATGTAAGTGAAATATCAAAATATGGAAAAACAGACTCCATGTCCTGTATGGGCCACCGTACCTTTCCCAGGTTGATTGTACACAATTGTAATTGGTTACATACTAGTTTGAACAACCAAAAGAAAGAAAGAAGACACACCGCCCGCCCGCTATATATTTTCAAATATCAAAGCCTTGTTTCTACCCTTGACACATCAAGCCCACTTTCCTGTGCTAAATATGATTGGACTATCGACATAATGTCCAATCAGAGAACATTTCACAAAATCAACATCAACGACTTGTACACCTTCGTGTGAAAGTGATTTACCGCTGCCTGTCTTTGTTGACACGAATATGTCTTTTTCATCTTTTCAACCCCCAACGATTGTTTTTGTGTCAGGGATAAAATCGCGAATGTTTTCCATATCTGATTCACTAGGTCATTGCCTATGGTAGTCACAATCTTTGTGAAGCTCTACGAGATAGGAACAGCAATCTGATTGGATATCATGATCTACACGAGGTGGTGCCAGGGTTGAGCCAAGAAAAGTGGCCTTGATGTGGCAAGAGTAGAAACTAGGCGTTGATATGGGCTAGTGGGCACGCTTGCCTCGGGAAGATGCCCCAAACAGGGAAACATTGGCTGGTGCTCTGCCAGAGGACACCCCACAGATGCTCTAGTTGGGACTGTTTACCATTTTGTCAGAGATAATCATTGACATATTACCAGCCAGTCAAATGTCCATTCACAATAACCAAATCAGTGTGCCCGTAATGTATGATGCCGTCCTGCACATACTGATCATGGTCAAGAATTATTGCCCTTGCATACCGTGCATCTCTTATTTGCCAATGTTTACTGCCATCTGTGGATCTGAGGCAAAATCTGCGACGATCTTGTCTAGGTGTCAGTGTTTTAGGCCTACCACACCCATGTCTCCTTGCAGCCCCACCCGTTTGACGGAACTTGTGCCACAGTCGAGAAATGACACTTTTTGATTTGCCAAACATTCAGGCAACTTGGGATATTGCCCCCCTCTATCGTACCCACAATTCACCATTTTCTCTGTTCATTGAGATACTGTCTTGGAGTCATTTTTGAGCATGTGCTTAGCTTAAATGCATTAATGTTTATGAGTTTCCCGATTATTGCGCACATGAAGAACATGCTGTTCATGTACAATGTGACATTGCATTGTTATCAGATGTTGTGTTCAGATGCAACGCCACAGAATGAATTCTTTATTCAGTACTACACAGGCCACAGGCCCTTTGTACAAAATGTATGGCATATTTATGGCAACAGTCACAATGATAAAATACGTGTTATTTCTTCTTTACTGTGACACAGATATCTAGCGATATTGATAATTTGCAGTATTGTAAACGTACCTCAATGATAGCAACATTCAAGTCACTAGTTACCTTATTTTTAGTCGGTAGTATCTTTTCTTTCATGGCTATTTCGTTGGTTGAGTTTTATGTTACCATGGGGATGTCAAAGCACAATCAAGTATCTCCCAGTCATGGTAGAGTTTATTTAAAGATGTTTTCACTTTTGCAAAGGGCTTCAAAAATTGTGTGAAAATAAAGTTGAACACTGCTGTGGAGGGAGCTCGTAGGGAGCTGAGAAGTATTGAAGTTCGACATATTGAATAACGTTTCACAACGCCATTCCCGAAAACGAAAACAATTATTTTTGACATTGTTAAAAATGGGTCATGGATGGCCCAGTCATCAAAGGTGCCGCAATTTGCTGTGCAGAATTGCGCCCTTGGGAACGCCAGAGACCTATGATCGTGGGTTCAAAACCTGATTCATCCCGATAATGTTTCTAGGTTTGTCAGCACCCCACCCCATGGGTTTCACCGAAATATCAAATTTGCGAAATTCCAAACAACAGCCTTCAGCCTGAAGCCCAAGTTTAGTCAAATGTCTGTTAGTAAGATCAGCATATATACACTAGTCCACAAATTAAGAATTATGTGGAAATTAATGCCAAACTAGATGGAAGAGGCAAAAAAATGTCTAAATACTAAATATTGTCACATTTATTCCTCGTCTGATAAAGAGATGCTTCTGTTTCAGGTGGTATACGAGACCAGAATCAGTCTTGGGACCTATCCTTCGTATTCTCTGGTATTGCGGGAATCCTTGGGGCGGGTATCGTACTTCTGGAACCCCTAGCTCAGAGGAAGTTGAAAGCATCAGAGAAGAAGAAATATGACAAAGAACTTGAGCTTAAAGCTGTGAAAACAGAAGAAACGTTGTTAGAGAAAAGTTGATGTTAGCTAGAGTTAATTAGAATAGAATATATAGAATAGGCATATATTTGTGAGGTTAATATATTTTATCAACGCTTGATTTAATTAGCAATGATAATGTTGTAGTGAAATTAGTAAACTTTTTGCTTTGGTGAATCGTTTTGAGCATATAATGACTTGCTACACATTATATTTAATGTATACTTAAAGGGGCACTGATCTAAAGCAATTCCCCGGGACTGGTTGTTGCCTTTGTTATTGATTTTTCACCGTGAGTACCCGGATGATACGCAACGCAACTGAGCATGACCAGAGACTGGGCTACTGTCTGCAAGGACAGCAAAATAAACTTGGAGGCAATATTTGTTTTACCCATTGGCTGATTGAACACTGATTGGTTAACCGTGATCTATAAAGATTTCGACAAAGGGCGTATGTTAATTAATTTCTTCAGCCTAAACAAACAGACAAAAAGAACGGCAGAGCTCATCGGTTGTACTACTCCCTTCTTGTCATCCATGTTTTCTGGTATAACCCTACACTTGTGTATTTGTCGTCATTCACTTGATGCTCAGTTAATGAATTTATTACAGGTATAATTAGTAGTAGCACCACTCTTAATACCTGACGAAGGTTCCCATTTGGCATTAATTGTGTCTGGGGTAATTATTCAATCTAAGTCCAGGTTTGAAGTGAGGTGAAATGTTTGTTATGTAATATTCACGTGTCAGCCTAGCAAGAGATGAATGTTCAGTTGATTTACTTTTTTTGTAAATCAGCAGATCGTTCGTAGTCATCAAAGGATTAACAGAAAATACATTGATTAATCACTGTTATCTTGCACGGTGGATATGTCAAAAGTGAGTGTTTACATGTCTAGGTTTACTGAAACAAAAAGAATACACTCATATCCTTGCGTGATGTGCTGATGTAAAAACAGCATACTTTGTGCAAAGGGTTTGATAACACGTTGATTAATTGCTCATTGTTATCTAACTCAATGGATTTTTTTAGGAACCGTGGATGTTATGAAAATAGTTGTCACGTGGGCTTTATCAGCCGACCTTTGAGACTTGACATCTATGTGAAACACCTGAAACAATCTAAGTGATCAGTTGAGAAATGAACACAGGTTATAATATCCCGAAATGATATATATATTTTAAAATATTTCATTGTTACAGAGACACGTGACATCGAATACATTTCTTTGTACAGCTGCAGACATTTGGGATATTGTTCCTTTGTGTGGATATTCACGGATACATTCCTCGAAAAAGGAAGCTGTCTAAAATAATACACATAAATTTGGTAGGTTGTAATTATGATATTTCGCATTTTGTTTTCCTTCATTTGCAGTAGCATTGGACAGATTCATTTTTGTTCCTCTACGTCTTGGTTGGGAAATTCTTCGATGCGCGATAGACGTTGTTTTCACAAGTCTTTTCTTTTGTATATTACAGTCAATTTGTAAAATGTGATTCTCTCAGACAATTTATAAAATGTGTAAATATTTCAGTCATTTTGACTGAAAAATCTGTCCATTTCTTTAACAGATTGACCAAAATTGATTAAGACGATCAATAGGGCCTAAAAACATCACAATAGATTATTATGTAGGATTAGAAGCCAAACAATATAGAAATGTACTTTTTATCGTAACATTTTCAGTCTCTTGGTGATGATATTAAACATAAAAATGTTTGGAATTCGTTGTCATAATAATACAGATGAACATATTTTTCAGTCAGTTTGTAAAATAACTGAATATTCAGGCGTTTAGTAAATTTTGACTGTAAAAATATAAACACGATGAAATAAGCAATGCTCAGGAGAAATATATACTTTGTGTTGTTGTCAAAATAGTGTAAATGAAAATCGCAAAATTACCAAGCAAGTGACTTATCAAAACTTCGTCACCATTACCGATGCTACCCACAAAGCTACTTACATTTCCTTATTATTTCCAAAACTGTATTTCATTTTGTTGATCAATGTGACCATACACCCTTATATTATCAATAAAAGTGACAAATGCGCTTACGAATTGCGCAGCACAGGTTGCGAACTATTCTAGGTTTCTGCTATATCATCTGGTACTCACAGGGAAAAAACAATAACAAAGGCAACAACCAGTCCCGGGGAATTGCTTTAGATCTTGACAAAACATAATGATGTATACTGACAGAAAGAAATAAGGGACCACAGTTTATTTCTGCCTTCAGTATGAGTGAGTGAGTGAGTATGGTTTTACGCCGCTTTTAGCAATATTCCAGCAATATCCGGCGGGGGACACCAGAAATGGGCTTCACACATTGTACCCATGTCGGGTCTTCGGCGTGACGAGCGAACGCTTTAACCACTAGGCTACCCGACCGCCTTCAGAATGAATGTTCCATATCAACAAAAGAAGACACATGGTGAAGGTTATTTATGTGTCACAACACTAAAACAAACACTAGTCACCTGGAGTGAGTGAGTGAGTGAATGCTGCTTTTTTCCAGCTGTATTTCAGCAGCTTGTGTTTGGGCATGACAAAACATCTTCGCTGTTTGAGGTACATGGGGAATATCGTTTTAAATTATGCATGTTTAAATCTATATCTGTTCCTTTATTTATTTCCATGAGTATATTTATCAAACAATAAAAACAATTGATCAATTTGTCAAGAAGCAAGGAATGCTGGATTTCATCATATGTCAGGTGAACTGAGCAGCTTGTCAGGCACCTGTATGTCAAAAACGAAAGTAAATGTGCAGTTCTAAATGGGAATAATAATGTTGATACTTTACACACTGGCATTCCAGTTGCATCTTAAGAATTTATTTCAGCCATGTTTTCATTTCTACTGCACCAAACCAGTTTGACAATGAAGCCAAAATATTTGATATATCTCGAGTATTTTAGATTTTTATCGAAAAGATATAGTTTATTGTCAAAGATTTGATTTTAATGGAAATGACAGACCAGTTGAAGAAAGAAATCCAGATGAGAGAGAGAGAGAAAAATGGACTTATCTTGTTTTGTTCAGATGAACAATTGACTGGGAACACTTGGTATCATCAGTATTTGATTGTGGTTCATAAAGACATTTTCTTTCTTTTTTAAACATTTATTCACAAGGAGTGGACAGGATTGGGGGACAAGTTCTTCCAACTTAGAATGCCCTCTCCTTGGTATTTACAAAAATTCACAATTTCAAATTCAATATATAATATTATATGCATACAGCACTATAGAGGAGACATAAAATGAGAGAGAAAAAGAGAGAGGAGGGGTGCTGCCAAACTTAGGAACATCATCAGGATGGATGGATCTGGGATTTGATTCAATGATCATAAACAGCACCACCCATGTCCCTAACTCATTATGAAGAATTATATCATAAAGAATTTATTTCAGCTGTGTTTTCATTTCTACTGCATCAAACCAGTTTGACAATGAAGCCAAAATATATCAAATATCTTGATTATGGGATGACTGTCTCCTCAGGGGGACTGTACAAAATCTGGAATGCTGCCAAACCTAGGAACATCATCAGGATGGATGGATCTGGGATCATAAACAGTACCACCCATGTCCCCAACTCACAAAAAAATTGTACACTATATATGAGGTCAATATCATGAATACTTTTTCCCTGTTCCTTAAAAACAGGTGTCGACCTCATGTAAAGTGTCTTGTAACCTTGGGAACATGTCAGACCAACAGTAGTCCTGTTGAAGATAATCATTATGTTTTGTAGTATTAATGTTTACAAATGTTCTTTATTGTTAATTGTTTTAGAAATCCAATATGTTTGTTCAGTTGTCAGGACATTTATGTTACTGATAGATTATGTATCTAATTATTAACACTGGAACACTGCCATGGTAACTGATGGACTTGAATATGTCAGTTATTTATATAAAAGAATTATAATATGAAATACCTATGAGTTTATGCAACATACAGGTCATGTTTTTTTGGTTGCTTTTTTTTAGTTAGTTCTTGTTGCGTTACATTCAACAACAAAGCTTACCCTGTTTACAAACTTGAAAAATGTCGAAATGCCAAAAGGTACAACTGAATCACTATTTCCGGTGACATCCCACGACCCTAAACCAATGCTCAGTCAAAGGCGTATTCTTGTCAACTGTGTTATCATACCTCCATGTCAAAATAATTAGATCTGATTGGTCCACGTGATCTTGATAAAATACTATATCCGGCCTTGGAGGGAAATAAATTTCTCATCGGGTGAATAGATTCCTTATACCCCGCCATGAGCAAGTCAGGCTTCACGCGGATTTCTGAGAAGCAGAATAAATCCCTTATACCCTGCTTCGATGCAAAATGCCGCAAGCTTTTTCCGATTCAGTGAAAGTCACATGACAGCACAAGTTAACCTCAGCTCAATCAAACAGCTCTTTTTTATCAATTTTCAATTTGTTTTAGTTGCTTTACAATGTCATATCAAAACATACTGGTAAGTTAAATTTGTTGCAGCAGGATGACTCGGGGTTTGTGGGGTTTATGCATTACTCGTTAGGCTTTATACCAGAGTTTTCTGAGTTTCATGAAAAACAATTAATGTTTCATATTTTGCTCAAAGAAAAACAGAATATATATAATTCTGTTTGCTGTTCACAAAAATATCTCAAAAAGTCATTGCCTGACAACAAATTATGCTCATTAGTCAGAATTTATGTTATCTTTAAAGAGTTAAGTTTATGAGAGAATCTTTTTCAAACAGAAATATATAAATGTTGTATTTTGTTGTTAATAAAGTTTCATATCAACCCTGGTGCATCTTGGTGTACTTTATACTATATGGTTGTGGTAATACACAAGTCATGCATACACTATTACAGAGTAGACGCAATGTATGGATAACAACTTTATTATGCTATTATGGGGATGTTTCGGTATAGATCATTATACCATCGTCAAGCAAGACCTTGATAATGGTATAATACCGAAACATTGTTATAATACATAATAAAATAAAGTAGTTATCCATAAATTGTGTCTACTCTGTCATCCATCAACTTCTAAGAAGTGTCTATCAAACAATTCAAGTCATGCATACTGCACAACTTGAATGACAAGTTCAAGTTTGATGTGGGCCGCCTCTGTGATGAAGTGTTGGAGCATAAGGTCCGGGGTTTGATTCCCGGCCTCATCATACCGAAAGATATTAAAAGATGGTACTTGTTGTTACCCTGCCTGGCGCTTGGCATTAAGGGGCTAAAACAAGGACTGGTCGGCTCGGAGTCAGTATACTGTGTCTGAGTTGGGTATTCATGTTAAACTGCGGCATGGTATCTCAGAGG